GCTTTCTTGTTGGCAACTTAGACAGCCCTTTGATCAGGGGACTGATACACTAATGGTAGCACTTTGTTGTTTAGCTCTTCGAAATATCATATTGAGCGGTTAGCATTAATGGATCAAAAATAAAAAAAATAAAAAAAGGAAAACTGCAAAGCTCTGATGCGTGAGTATCAAAATATGCGATCAAACTGTCAAAAGAAAAAAGAAAGAAAAAAAAACGAGGATGAAGAAGAAGCAATAAAGTTGGCTCCTTGTGGTGGTCTAGTTTTCTTTCGGTGGAAGGGATCTTTGGTATGAAACAAATATTTTGGTAAATTAATTTTTTAAGAACATTGTAGTGGTATCCCATATTCTTCTATTGGGCAGTGTTGCAAATTTCTCAATCCTGCCTTTTTTGTAACAAACAAACCCCATATTTATTTTATTTTTTACTATTAGGATAATTATCTAAAACAACCATTTACTTTTGGTTAGCCTACTTGTAATACTTTGTGTAATGCATGTTTGAGTCTTTTGTCCTTTCGCTTGGGTGCTTGACATGTTAAGATTGATAAATATGCATTGAGTTGAATTTATCGGACTTGTAAGTTAACTTATGCATGCTGTAAATCTTTTCTCTTCATGTTGTAAATATTTTGTTTTGCTAGCTTGAGATTGGCACGGTATTTGTGATGAGTCAAGCATTGCTAGAATTTATTATACATGTATGTCTTTCTCTCTTGCAAACTACTTTCTATTCATCCTTTTTCTACAAGGTAACTAATGGATTTATTTCCTTCCTGAATTTTGTGTTGGTAATGAAGTTTATAACAAAGATACTTAAGTTGCTCTCTCAAGTTTCGAGTGCTATTAATTTATATAAATGTGAATCTATACTATTCTCAGCTTGTGGTTGATATGTTACAATATTCTTTTCTTACTTAGTTTTGTTTTTTCTCAGTTGAACACAACTTGAGGATTTCTTGAATTGTTATTTGTGCCTTCATCAGTTTCCTTTCTTTTTTCCATGTTGTTTTGTTTTGAAGCAAGATGTTTTCTTTTTTCCATGTTTTTTATTGTCGGTCTGTTTTGAAGCAAAATGTTTTGAGTTTCTGTGTATTCTCTTGACTTCACAGAGGAAACGATACCTCTAGGCATCCTAGGGGTGTCTATTTTTTCCATATTTAATTAACTGTATATTGTTTTTGCAGGCGGCAAATTACCTGAATGTGAAGAATTTGCTTGACATGACTAGCATGGCTATTGCCAATCACATCAAGGATTTGAGACCTGAAGAAGTCCGGGAGATTTTTGCAATTGAAAATGATTTTTCGCCTGAAGAAGAGGCTAACGTGAGGGAGCAAAACAAGTGGGCTTTTGAATGAGTCCGCTCTTCTTAGAGCTCTCTTTTCAAATTGTTTTTGGACATTAAATTTTTTGTTTTAGAACCATATGTTTACACAACAAATTGAGGTTTTGGTAATTGGTATCACCACCATGATGCCCATGAGTCTTCACTTTTTGGTGATTTGGGTGTGGGTGTGTAAGTATGGTTAATTAGTTTCAGGCTTGAGTTGCTGATTTTGTAAAGGTGTTTTGCCTCTCTCTCATTATTCACAAAGATGTCATTTATTCACAAGTATTCTGTGTAACGATTGAATGTTGGTTTTTAGAAAGAGGTGGATACATATTTGCTTGGATCTGAAGTAGGATCAAATAGAAGAAGTCCTTTTGATTTGGGATATACATGTCCTATACTACATATGAATATAAGTGGGCATAATTGGGCTTAGTCTGGCTATTTACCCCAAAATTTGGGCTACTACGCTTGGCTTTTGAGCGAAGTATTCTAGACCTTGGATTTTGAGTGCCACAAAGCAAAGTCATGAGAATTTCTATTGTTTTTTTTTTTTAATCCAATTTTCACAGAATTTTTGTTCCTTTCGCTCCAAACGTCCTTCGAGATGGATATTTTAAAAAAGGAAAATGGTTTGATAGGGAATAACTAGTGCTACAGCCCTCCTCACCATCCCTTGGTTTGGATGGGGACGATTTAACACGGGAAGTCAACGGGAAACTGAGGCACCTAGAGCCCCGGTGGCACCTAGCCCTTTCTTAATCTAGTTTTTTTTTAAGAAACCCCTTTTATATTTTTGTGAGAGAGGGATACTTTGAGAGAGTTTTTTTAAGAAACCAACCTTTTATATTTTTGTGAGAGAGGGATACTTGAGAGAGAGTAAAGAAGCATAGAAGAGCAGAAGCTAAGATCCTATTTCTTCATAAGTATTATGTTTGGTCTTTAGAAAGAGGTAGATGAATGTTTACTTGGATTTCAAATTAGATCAATATATATTCTATACTATATGAATATATTGTCCTTTGCTTGGCTTCTGAACGAGTCATCCTAGGCCTTCGGATTTTGCCGTAACACCAAAGCTAAGCAAAGTCCTGAGAACTTCTATTGCCTTTGTTTAATGCAATTTTTATAGAATTTTTTATTCCGTCGTGGCCATGTGTCAAGTGACATATGCTTCCCTTAGCATCATGGGTTGGTATTGTGTCCACTTTGATCCAAGCTTGGTATAGTTGGGTGCACTGAAAGTGGCACGTCCGCTCTGATCCAAGCCATCTTCCGTCTTATTGAACCTGTGGATGGAAAGAGAAGTATGGATGGCATTGACATCTCCACAATTGGCCTTCGTGACCTGCACACTCGTCTTAGTATCATCCCCAAGAACCCACCTTTTGTGATGGAACAATAAGGGGCAATGGTTTAAAAAGCGGATCGGTGATCCGGATTGGGTATCTCAAAAACAGATTTAGATCGACGAATCGGTGATTCAGATTGAGAATCGATTGAATCGGTCAGATTAAAGCTTCAAAAAAATCCAAAAAATTTATTAAAATTCATTATAAATATTGTTTTTTAAGAATTCAATAAAAAATAAGGGTACTCTATTAAGAATTTTCATTTCTTTGCATGAATATGCGAATATTGATATGTTCTTTCTCTGCATGAACTACTAGTTACCATTTAATTTACATCACACAAAAAGATAAACATAGAATTATCATGGAATAAGTATATCAACATGCATGGACTACAATAAAGCATACAATTAGTAACATACGATCTAAAAATAAAATGACAGACGACGTCGTTTTTCTTCGTGGTCACGCCGGTGCCATTGCTTGAATTCGTTTGACAATTCATTAATTCGATCAAAAAACGAATCATCGATATTAGCAGGCGTCTGACTATATCCAAATCCCTGAGTGTTAGTGCACTGTTGTGTTCCCAATCCAAAATCTCCGAAGCTTGTCCATCATTCATGCTCACCTACACTGTCGTGCTCATCCCTACCCTGTTGCTGTTGGGACTTGATATGTGAATACTATGGCTGGGATAGGGTGGCCTCAAAATCATCATCTCTCTCATTTTCCCTTAGACCCCTCATTAGGTGCAATATCACCGACATCTCCGACGAATTGTGGATACGTTGGCTGGCTGCTTCCTCTTTCATGCTGCTCATTACCTTCTTCAAGATCTTTCTCACCGATAGCCTCAAAGAACACTCTCTTGTGCAACACTGGCTCCTCCTCTTCTACTACCCATTGGTCTACTGTGTCTGTGACAAATAATGTGTCTAAGTCTATTGACCCATAGTCCTTCTTATTTGTTACTCTCGGAGGTTTAAGTTGTAATGACCGTAGACTAGTTTATGAAGCTTCTTCGAAGCAAGTCGATTTCTCCTAATAGTGTGCAACCATTGAAACGTACTCCAGTTGCGCTCACAGCCAGTAGCAGAACATGTCTGGGAGAGTACCTTGATTGCTATCCTTCTTAGGTGAGGTGCATCAGTACCATATATCTCCCACCATTCAGCTGGATTAAAATGCAAAAAGCATTGTAAGGGCAAAAATAATTCATAAGATTAAATATATGAATGAACAAAATATTAGCTAGAGGATAACCTGGATCCATCTTAGTTCGAGAATTCCTGGTAAGTCTAGTTCTGAAGGATCCTATAGCATCCATATACATAGCAAGCTAAAACAAATATATTTCGTTTTAGTGCATTATTCCTCACAAATATAACAACTCAATGAAGTTCTTACCAAAACATTAAATAATACCTCTTGTATTGCTGCTACTTGGTTTCGATGGATTCTCTTCAACCTTGCAATAATGTATCTGACCCCTTCCATAATCTTGTAGGGATGTTCAGGTATCAAATAGAAAAATTTTGGGTTGAAGTAGTAACCTAGAAAATATATAGATAGAAAAATGTCACTTACAATTTCATAAAAAAATGATTTAAAATGAAACATTCTAATGATATAAATATATATTTACCAGCATAATGAATTGGACATCCAAATTTGGTGTTCCACCTCCTTTTTATAATCTCGATCACTTTGCTAGCAAAACTACACTTCTCCCCAATAGCTGATTTCGCCCTCTCGATACCTTTATAAAGAATGCCCATGGTAGCTTTCTTGTCAGTATCCACCATTCTTAACACTGTGACTAAAGGGGCAGTGGCCTATACGACACTGGAACATCGAGACCAGAACCTCCTATTTAAGACTATGTCGTCCACTTTTATACCGGTACTTGACTTTGAGATGCGGTCATTTAACCACTCTTCACAGGTAAACAATCTCTTTAATGCACCTTTAGATTCCCGAATGGAGTCCACAACTAAGTAATTGGTCGCAAAGCGGGTTATGACAGACTTGATTATCTCTTTTTTCTTAGAGTGTTCTCTAAACATAAATAAAATTTTAGAGTGATTATATATAAATCTCGACACCAACCTTCCTTCTTTTAGAGTCTCCTTCGCAATTTTGATCTCACCGAACTCCTCTAACATAAGATTGATGATATGTGCAACACACGGGGTTCATACTAGATGCTTTCTCTTATCCATCAACTTGCTGCCTGCAGAAACACATGCACGCGCATTGCCCGTAATAAACTAGGCTACATGCTTATCTCCCACCTCCTTCAATATCTGATCATATAGTCGTACGTAGAAGTTTGCATCCTTCTTCGTCCCTGATACGTCTTTGCTAGACAAAAAAGCTATATCTTTTGAAGAATAGGTCAAGAAGTTTAAAAACACCTTTTTGCTAACTTTATTCAACAACCATCACTCATGAGAGTAATGTCTATCGATGGCTAATTCTGTTTATATTCTTCAATCCACTTTGTGACTTCCTCCACCTCTTCATCTAATATTGCCCCACTAAGCTCATATGCCGTCAGGGATTTTACCCCGGGCCCGGCTCTCTGAATTTCATTGACCATAGGTAGAAAATATGGGCTATTGGCTGCATCAAAAGGAATCCCTTTATCATAGAACCATTTACCAACATATCTCTCCAACATGTTTATTGTACCTTTAACCATGCCTTTTAGGGTCATTTGTTGTAACTTAAGCTTTGAGAGAAATGAGTCTATACGACTATGACCTGCAATACTGGCACTCCTAGATAAGCTAGGAACTATTTCTTCAACGTTTGATTCTTGTTGACACATACTGCCACCAACCCCTCTATACATATTTGAGCTAAGCCCACCATACATGCTCGACCTGGGGCCGGCATGCATGTTTAAGCTGGGCCCGCCATATATGTCTGAGCTAGACCCATCTTGCATGTGTATGTCATAACCACCGGGCATTCTAAACCCACGTTCCCTCTGATATTGTTCATGTAAACTCATTATTGTGGCCATTTCCATGTCATTATTATATTACTCTTCTAGGTCATTATTATATTGCTCTTCTGGATCATTCATGCTTGATGGCGTATATAAACTAGCTATCTCCTCATTCATCCTATGTTTGGCAATTTTTTTACCTTTGTTAATCTTAAGAAATGCTACAATCTGTTTGTTTACATTACTAGGGAGACTACTCCATGCAGAAACATCTCCCTTAACCCCTGCCAAGTGTTGCTTGAACCTATGTACCCCACTACTTATCACTCTTTCGCAGTAATTACAAATAATTTTGTCTTTTTTGTTGGGATCAAGTCTGACCCCATGTTGCCATGCAGGGTCTTCTGCAGATCTTGACATGATTCAACTGTTTTAATATGTAAAAAGTTAAAAATTAACCTGACAGTTCAACAAGAAAAATAATCACCATGTGTAGTGATAATATGTTGAGGTAGTTCATGTAGTTATATTTGTTGTTATTTGTTATTGCAAAATACTTCTATTGATAATAATATTTTCGGACATATCAATTACAAATATACAGAATAATATAATACAAAATGCAAGTTCCAAACATGGCTACAACTCAATTATCAAGAACATACATTTTTTGCATTAAAAATTTAATAATAAAATTGAAAAAATGCAAAATAATATAATTGTCATACGTGCCACGATTTTTTTACAATGATATTCATTTTAATTCCTCACGATAATACAATTTAACAACATGCATTTTTTGCATTCAAAATTTTAAAAATTGAAAATACATTTTTAATGCAAAACTACATTAAAAATATAATACAGTTTTGCATTATAAATATAATAACATGTATGTTTTTGCATAAATATTCTATCAACATGCAATTTTGTCAACAAACACTTTAACAATAAAAATTAAAAATATGGTTTAATACCTCATGATAATCAAAACCTGGTCACTATTTTCACATCTTTTCGGAAAATCACGAT